CTGTTCGTAGATGACTTTGATAAGGAAACTGTAGTTGTAGGATTCATACTGTTGGGATTTCTTCCAGGAAAATTGTTAATCCCTTGTGCTTAGACCTGGCAGGGAGTTATCTCAGGACCAGTGTCAGCACTGGTTACCCACATATCTGCCTGCTTACTCATAGAAACAAACAGCTATTTTTATCGTTGCAACCCTCGTATCAGTCTTATGTCATGTTTACATTATTCTAACTACAGCCTCTCTTAACTTCAGCTGTAATTGTTTTGTTATATTTCTGCTGCATTGGCCGATCGCTGGCAGGATTACTGGAAAGTAATGGATGGATGTGGATGAAATTTATCACTAGGGGTAAAAACGTAGAATGTATTCTTTTTAGGGTCAGTTTGGAAACAGGATTCTTTTGGAAGGATTGTTCACACCTTTGTGTTTCATGCAGATGGCTGTGACTATTTTCTTGTCTCCAGTTTTGGTACCGTGCACACAATGACCAACAAGTGATGTAGACGTCGGAGTTAATCGTTCCACTTTTGTCGTCAGTGTGATCTATTTACAAGTCGCAGGCAGCCCGTGAACAGACCACACCTGTTGTTGCCTTGCAGACTAATTAGTATTATTATTATTATTATTATTATTATTATTATTATTATTATGGTCTAGCTATTTTCAAGAACTGTCATGGGATGTTACGGTAATCATTAACTTTCAAGAACAAAGCTAAAATGGAATGCATCCCAAGGCAAACTGGATGAAATGAGCAAAGGCATAAATCAGTAAAATCCAGCTCTTATTACACTTTCTAGAACTGGTAAAGTTGGTCTTATTCCAGTCTTCCCAGTTATTTTATGCTGGTATAACTGGTAAGAAATTCTGCCTCAAAACCTCTGGGTTCATTCGCCTGACTGTGTTTGCATTTAGCAAACAGCCATAGCTCATCTGATTCTCCTTAGTAATCTGTTCGCACATATTCATAAAGGAAATAATCAAGGATCAAGCTCTTAAGTCTGTGGTTTTCCAAGTCTGTGGAATGTAAATGAAACAAGAAACAGAAAAATCCCAGATTGTTTCTAAAGTGAAACCAAAGGAAGAGCAAAATTAACCAAAACAAAGAAAAATGATGGTTTGAAATGTTTGTTTGTTTTTGGAGCCATTATAGTGACAGTGTTTATAAAGAAATCATGCTGTCAAACATCCACAAACAGGACTACTGGCCTAATCTCTGTGTCTATTTTTAGATTAGTGGATGATGTAATGCAGCCAGGGCTGCATGTGTGTCAGTCTTGTGGGAATTCTGTGAACGTGTGAAATCCTGCAGCTCATCCAGATGTCAGGATAATTGCAGAAAGAGCTCATATTTCATGAGTTTCCTTTATTTTTGCTGCACACTTCAAATATTTAGTTTGGAAAAGCATAAAATGAGGCCCATTCCGTATCCTTACTTTTCTTAATTACTGTATCCCATACATCCCATCTGTGTGGTTTCTTCCTGACCACTGGGAAACACACAGTGCTGCTGTGGAGTGTGCACATGGCTCTCTCTGTAGGAGGGTACTGTTATTCAAACTATAGGTCAGCTTTGTTGTCATTAAGCAGGGTCATGGTATGGCATGTCACAGGAATGTCTGTTTGAGCTGTGCTGTTTTAGACACACACACACACACACACAGCAACACAATATGCACATATTTGTGTGTCTCCATACAGTTTATCATCATCATCCTTCCAAGATCATCTTTTTTGGAAGTATAATTTCAAAAAGTTTAATCTCAGCTCATTTCTTCTACTGCTTTTGTTCTTTGCTTGCTACGTCTTGTTTCCTCCGTCATTGTTTGACAGCAAAAGAAAAGACTGGTCAAGAATTTAGGACACAGCGTTCAGAGTTTTTGTTTTACTGATCTGATTAATTCGCTGATACAATCAGCGGTCTCCTGATAGATTACCGATCTTAAACATTCTCACAACTTCCTCAATAGTCAGGCTCTGAATGCAGCTAATTTGACTTAATAATTAATGTTTGCCCCTGATATTTGGGCTTAGTACTACAACCCGGCTGATTCTGGATGGGTACTAGATTCTTCTTAAGAAGCCAAAAAATCCAGTATTGATATACCACCTAATCTTCTATATGTAAACAGTATGTTGAGTTCTGTTGAAAGGGGAAATATTTGTTTTAGCTCCCTTCACCCTCATCTTTAGGCAGCTTTATTTTAACTGCTCCTGATCAACAGAATTTTTGTATGGTATGTCTGAAGGGTACAACATGGAAGTGAGTTGGTAAAGTCCAAGCTCATATCTAAATGTAACTGTGTACTGACGTAGCGAGGCACTGTCAAAAATACGCAGAACAGTTGGTATAGTAGACCACTGGTGTCCGACTTAGCTGCTGCTGTGGAGAGGACGTCTGTCACATTATACCAAAAAAGTGTTAAAGATGTAGAAAAGTGTCTGCTGCATATTTGTGCTCCTTTTGTTGTTTTCTTGTATTTTTTGTGCCTCTTTAACTCTACAGTAGTATTTAGCTACTTACTGTGCTTACCATATAATTACAGTTTCTAAATTATGCCAAATGTTTTATGAACATCTTTAAAAAATAAAACAGAAAAAAAATGCCAATAACAACATATCAGGGCAATATCAATAAGTCTGTGTGATTTGATTCAACAATGAAATCTTATATTTGAGTTTTTACTTCCATACAGAGGAACGTGTGTGTGCCAGTATTTTCATTCTCGTTACTAAACGTATGCTCTGGGGACTGACTGAGCACAGATGTGCGCACATCTCCAACCACAAACCTTTACACTGTGTGTGTGTGTGTGTGTGTGTGTTTTGAATAAAGTACACTACAAGTTAAGGCAAAGAAGAAATGGTGTGGCTGGCTGTTCTGGTGAAGGGCTCTTTCTGTTTGCGTCAGCACTGCTCCCTTATAGTCGTGTTCCTGACTGACTGAGGCAGAGCCAAAACTAAGGCCTGCTGTTTTCACTGCAGTGAGGAGTTGGCAGTGTGTGAAAAGGAGGCCAGCTGACCTCTGTACCTGCCTTCCTTTCATCACGTGTTGCCACTGGGACTGGGGCTACATTGGTTTCCACGAACTAGCTCAGCATCCTGGACAGTGGAGAACAAAGCTCGAGCTTTTAAATCTAAACGGGTGGTTGTAAATAATGTTTTTGTAAGTAAGTTAGTAATATCCTCAAAACAGCAGAGTTTAACCTCAGAATAATTACTTTGAAAGGTATTCCAGCCTAAACAATGTTGCAGTGCAAGAACCACCAGAGCAGCTGTTGGCCAGATTATGTTCCGAGTGCACACAGCCACACCAGTTTGTTCACCCTCGCATCCATTCTTTATGCTTTCTTTAGCATACAGCCTGCCTGGAGCTTATGTACCTTATAGACATGAGATGTTATGTCCTGTCAGCTGTCCTCATTGTAAGAAAGTAAGCAAGAGTTATTCCTAGCACGTCAGAAGTGTAATTATTCGCTTCAATCTTTCTTATTTTCACTTTAAAGAGGCAAGAAAAGTTTCTGCATCGCTGCTCGGAGCAAATGCAAAACACTGCTTCTGCAAATGAACCACCAACAAAACGGGTCAACTGTGTGGTGGTTTTTAAGTCAATGTGCTTGATTTTTTTTATTTGAGCTTTTTATAATAGTCTTCCATCCTTCTAATCTACCTTGTATACTTTCAGCCTTGTTGGTCAGAGCTGATGAAGACGTTACTGCCAAATCCACTTTGTTATGGACGGGGGCTTCCCCATTCATCACAGCAAAGCTACAGACATCAGTGAACATGAATGATCTCTAACCCCTGGAGGTTAAAACGGTTAAAAATAGCTTAATAAAGCTGTGCACAGTATATCCATGTAGCTATTCAGAGACCCTTATTAGAGCTAGATGATTTTCTTGACTGAGAAGGGTTGTTGTGTTATTTCACAGTGTATTTAGCAGTGAACCCACCATTTCCTGTGTCTGGAACTGAGTCTGTGCCACGAGGACGCATTTATACACTTTCCCTGTGTGTTTCCTGTCTGGCTTTGTGTCGGTACCTTTCCTGTGTCCAGCTCCATGCTTAGAAATACAAAGGGTTGTTTAAGGTCATGATGCTGCAGAGGAATGACAGTAGCCAGAAGTCGTCATATATAAAATATAGTTGTGCTGTTAAATAGATTGTTAAGAAGCATTCGGTCATCAAATTCATCAAAATAAAATTCCAGGTGGAAGATTTGTGCAAAATTAAAAAATAAAAAATAAATAAATAATAATTTTTGGGATGAATGTGTCGTCTTTGGTCAAAAAGGCAGATGAAAATACTTGTTGTTGAGAAAATGATCACAGAAACTTACAAAATTACCTTTTTTAAACTTTCTTATTTTGTACCTGGTGTTATACCTGAGGAATATCATGGGAATGTTTTTTGCCTGATTTGGACTGTTTTTAAAGAATATTAGATGGACGGTATGCATAAAATAAAATATCAGTCTCCTCCCTCCAAAATTGTTTCCACAGCTTCCTCTGCTGTTAGATGAGACATCCAAACACTTTAGAGACTTAACATAAAATAATGAATATGTTAACTTGAGCTACTCTCCTGGGTCTCCAGAATCATAACATATGTACGTATCAGATATTCCTTCTAAAACAATGGTCAGGATGGAGGCATTTGATGAATTGACATACGTGACACTCAAGAAGTTGCAGGTCATGAATGACATAAACTGATGTGGTTTTTAATTAATGTTGTTTGTTTTTACTGTGCCAGATCAGAAATTGTTCATCGCAGATTCACATCTGTAGGATTTGTGAATGTGGTGCTTTGGAGGCCTGACATTAAGTGTTTGATGTAAAATATTGTACAACAAATCATCATTGTAAAATTCTCCATTTCACACATGTGAGAAAACTATAATCTTTCATGTTTTCTTTTCCAGTATTGTTACATTTGTAACAATATGTATGTTTTTATTTTTAAATACTTTTTAATTTGTCGCTCTTTCTCTTTTACAGAATGAAGATTCCTGAGGCTGGGAGTTAAAGCTCTCTAGCAGAGAGAGGGTTTTTCCAGAGCTGAGGCTGGACCCAGAAGCCCCTTTCTGGGGGTGAGGGGACCTCACAGCCCGGGAGTTAGTCTGGACCATGGGAGATGGAGGTGCCGGTGCGGCTGGAGGAGATGGGGTGAATCAGTCCCATGTCCTGTTTGACAACTTTGTCCAGGCGACTACATGTAAGGGCATTCTCAAGGCCTTCCAGGAGCTATGTGACCACCTGGAAGTAAAGCCCAGTGATCACAGGATCTTCTATCACAAACTCAAGTCCAAACTCAACTACTGGAAGGCCAAGGCCCTCTGGGCCAAGCTAGACAAGAGGGCCAGCCACAAGGAGTACAAGAAGGGCCGTGCCTGTGCCAACACAAAGGTAAGGCAGCATAATTTGAAAATCGTTGTTGTTGTTTTGTTTTAAAGCTGGATTTTGTGGTTAGCTTGGGCTCCTGTTCCCATTCACATCTAACAGACTGAACAATATGATCCTCAGTATGTTGATATCTTTATTTTTCTTCCACTAGGCCGAAGATGTCTTCACTTTGGGCTTTGTAGTTAGGGAGTTGCTCATAATTATAGTAGAAGATAGATGTATCTTATAATGGTAAAGCCTATTAAACAGCCAAAGGCTAGACCGTTTTATTAAGTTGAGTGTTAGATGCTAGTGTGGGGTTTTACACACTGAAGCTTGAATAGGTGGATTATGAGTCGAGCAAGAAAGCAAGTTAAGAATAGATTCGACTTGCTTCCTTAAAACCTGTCTGAAACTTCTGTGTCATTTTCTGTTTAGTGTCTGATCATTGGTGCGGGGCCATGTGGCTTGCGTACAGCCATCGAGCTCGCTTTCCTGGGGGCCAAAGTTGTGATTCTGGAGAAGAGAGATGCCTTTTCTAGAAACAATGTGCTGCACCTCTGGCCCTTTACCATCCAGGATCTCAGGGGTCTCGGGGCCAAAAAGTTCTATGGGAAGTTCTGTGCTGGTGCTATCGATCATATCAGTGAGTAGACACGATTCTCTTGAGCTCTTCTACTGGTACTAATACAAAATATATCAAAGTTATTTTACATATTCTTTCTGTGTGTGTGTTCTAGGTATTCGGCAGCTTCAGCTTATGCTTCTCAAAATGGCACTCCTGCTGGGCATCGAGATCCATGTGAACGTAGAGTTTAAAAGCCTTATTGAGCCTCCTGAAGATCAGGAAAGTGAAAGTTAGTAAATGGAGCAGCTGCCAAATGTGTCCAAAAGTGCATGAAACTATCTGTCAGAGCCTATGAGTGTCGACTCTGTTAATGCATTTCTGTCCGATTACACATTCTGTGTTTTCTTAGGAATTGGCTGGAGAGCTGAGATCCACCCTAGGACACACCCCGTCAGCGAGCTGGAGTTTGATGTCATCATTGGAGCAGATGGAAGGAGAAACACGTTACCAGGCGAGTTTGCATGCGCAGACTGGGAATAATGCATCAGTAATGCATTTGACTAAATGAAGCGGCACTGTTTGTCGAGTTGGAGGCCAGTTAGAATGATTATGATCTCACTTCGTGTGCAGCTGTGGTTGGGTACCTGACCTCGCTCTGCTCCTCACGGCCGAATGAGCATTTGTGTACATCTTAGCTTCTGCGTTCAACTTCAGACAGTATTTGCTCTCCAAGCACAGTTAATAGGAACTGTTGAACTAGGTCTGTTTCCTATGAGTGTTGGGACGCACACATGGAGACCTCAGTGGAGCTTTGCACAGGAGTGTTTCTCCTCTAATTCGACTGTTTTGGAGAAGGCGGTCTGCAGGACAGACGATGTCATGAAATTGTAGATGCTTCTAGATATTCTATGTATTGTATGCGCTTAAAAGTAGCGTGATTTCTAACATTTCTAATTTATGTTCTTTTACTTCACTAACGGAGTGAACAGTTACTGGTTTCTAACCTTGAGGCCTTCCTCAATCATCCGTGCTTTTCTGTAGGGTTTCGGCGCAAGGAGTTCCGGGGAAAGCTCGCCATCGCCATCACTGCTAACTTCATTAACAGGAACACAACGGCAGAGGCAAAAGTTGAAGAGATCAGCGGCGTGGCCTTCATCTTCAATCAGAAGTTCTTTCAAGACCTCAGAGAAGCAACCGGTCTGTCATGGCTCCATTCTCCTCCATTACTTTTTGTCTGTGTAACAGTTCAAGGTTCTTTATTTGTCACATGCATAGTTATACGAGTATAACACACAGTGAAATGTAGCCTGACATTTCACTGTGTGTTATATGATGCAGTTATGATGCAGTTTAAGAATTTCGGATACTACATAAAACATGTGCTTTTGTTGTTGTTGTTGTTGTTACTGGTAACTGCAAGATCTGGAGCTAGCAGAAGCAAAAGGAAGCAGTTGATGCCAAAAACAAAAGTAATTGGACAAATAATCTGTGCTCTGATCATAGTTAAAAATTGGTCAGCGCACTCAATTAAAATACTTAGGTTTGACGCCAAGCCGGCCACAGTTTGCCGCTGACATGACAATGTCCCCGAGGCTCTGGTTATGTGCTTTGAAAGGCATAATTGCTGCTCTTGTGCTCAAATGACGTCAGGATTGTCAGCTCTGTTAAAAAGGAAAATGATTGTGTTTGTTATGTAACACTACATCTTTCTGTTGGTCATTTTAGGCATTGACCTGGAAAATATCGTCTATTACAAGGATGACACGCATTACTTTGTGATGACTGCCAAAAAACAGAGCCTGCTGGAGAAAGGAGTCATTCTACATGTGAGTGATTAAAGCCTACAGCGCTTGCTCGTCTCTGTACGCTTGTTCAAACCAACAAAATTAGTCCTTCTCTCTCTTTTCTGCCTTTTTTTTCTTCACACTCTTTCATTGTTTTTCAGTCTTTTATTCTCTCTGTAAATTCCTCCAGTTTTTTCCCTAATGGTCTAACCAAGCCAACGGTATTCTGGAGCAAAGTGCCAACTTAAGCACTTGCTACTTATTTGTGTCCTCGCTAAATACGGGAGTTTCCTTTCCATGGCCACTTTGCACAGGAAACCGGAAAGACCTTTTGGCATGTCTGTCTTTGTGTAGTGATATTAATAAAGGATATAGATGCATAAATGTCTGCATTAAGTTTTAAGCAGAGATCTTTTTAGCTGTTGTTGTTTTTGATTTGTGCATGGATGTGCAGCTCTTTGTTTTTATGGGGAGTTAATGACGTTTGGGCATACACTGAGGTCCAAAGACAGAGTGCATTTGGATTATGTAAGCACGACTACAGTGCAGTATGATGAGCTCCTTTTATAGCAATTAAACAGCTCAGTGTAGCCATTTTTATTTTTTAATTTTGAAGAGATAAAGGAAGACAGAGGCTAGTCAGCACAGCTCATGGCAGAACTACAAATCAGAAAACAGCCCCTGTTAATATCTTCCACTGCCCCACCCTTCCCGTCACGCACCACCACTGGAAGACCAGAGAGCTTGAAGATGGAAGAAATGTATCTCTTACCGCCCTCTGCGAAAGCATGTCACTATCAAAGCGTGCAGTGATTTGATGCTACATGTTAGAGAGACTTCATTCCAGTGCAAATCCTCTGGGCTCTATGTGGTAAAGGGGTTGTATAATTCATATTGTATCATATTCAATTCAATTTTAGACCCTACTATAATACATACAGAGAAAAACCCAACAATCATATGACCCCCTATGAGCAAGCATGTTGGCGACAGTGGGAAGGAAAAACTCCCTTTTAACAGGAAGAAACCTCCGGCAGAACCAGGCTCAGGGAGGGGCGGGGCCATCTGCTGTGACTGGTTGGGTTGCAGCAGATGGCCGGGCATATGAAAATCTTAAATCGTAACTTACAATTAGGGGGAAATCGTTTCCTTTTATTTATTTTTTATGAATTTTTCATGTTAAGGCCGCTTCTTATCTCACCTGCTTCCCCTGCAGGACTATGCAGACACCGAGCTTTTGCTCTCCAGAGCCAACGTAGACCAGGCTGCCTTGCTGTCTTATGCACGTGAAGCTGCAGATTTTTCAACCAACCACCAGCTGCCCACACTGGACTTTGCCATCAACCATTACGGCCAGCCTGATGTAGCAATGTTTGACTTCACCTGCATGTATGCTTCAGAAAATGCCGCCATGGTGCGCCAACGCAATGGGCACAAGCTGCTAGTGGCGCTTGTTGGCGACAGCCTGTTAGAGGTGAGAGGAATGACGATGACTTGTGATCGACTCTCTTTTCTTGCGTTGGGACTGAGAAATTGACTGTGTAAAAATGTCGTAGCGGCCCTTCATGTAAGTCTGTAGTTGTTTTCGTTTTTCCTTCTCTGAAAAAAAACTCCCAAAGTGTATTTTGTTCCGATTGGCTGCCCCTCGTGTGGCTTCTGCAAACATACCCTGGTAAAAGTACCAGGGTATGTTTGCAGAAGCCACATGATCATTTCAGTGAAACTCAATCATCATTGTGGCTACGACATAAAGAAATCTGCTTAGGAAAGCACAAGAGTAGAAATAATTGTTTGGAAACGAAGCTTTGTACTGTCTGAATCTGAGCGTTTTCCTTACTCGGATTGTGCTGATCTCATTGTTTGAAACTTTGGACACACTTCATATAAGCAGTAATGCAACATATCAAAAGCATTTGTCCCCTTTAAAGATTTTTAAGAGACTGTTTTAAAATTCTTAATCTTAAGGTGTTGATTTAAAGCTCGTTTCTATCTCTGATATTTATTATAGTTTGCATATTTGACCATATTTGGGTATTGAATGTGCTTACTTTGTCTCCAGCCCTTCTGGCCCATGGGGACTGGCATAGCCCGAGGTTTCCTGGCAGCCATGGACTCGGGCTGGATGGTGAAGAGCTGGGCCCAAGGAAAAACCCCTCTTGAGGTGCTGGCTGAGAGGTGAGAGCGTGGAAACATTAATGCATGCACGCCAAGACCTGTTCTGTTCTTGTGCTCATACATATCTGCAGCCACACTCTTCGATGTGCTTTCTCTTCAGGGACACCCTTTTATCTCAAAGTGCTTTACTAGGAAATGTGAGATTTCAAGCATCAGTCCCACCTCTGTTAGTACTAATAGGATAAGAGTTTGTAGTAAGGACTGACTGGAATGTGCCCGTAATGTTCTGTTGTGACGCTGATGTGATCGCGATGTGCTACTGCATTATCATATTACACTGCTGCTTTTTTGTTACATTTCACTCAGTTAAGGTCGCCCAATGGGGATGCTTTTGTTTTTTAGGGAGAGCATATACCGCCTTCTGCCTCAGACCACACCAGAAAATGTCAGTAAGAACTTCAGTCAGTACAGTGTGGATCCTACGACTCGTTACCCCAACATTAGCCTCAACTTCCTCAAACCTAGCCAAGTGAGTATGAGCACTAACAAGCCACAGTGCCTCTTTTTAAGATTTCATTATTAGCTTAAACCAGGTTGTGTTTGATGCTATTATGCAAATACGCTTTTTCATGCGAGAAATGATCATCTTGACGTTGCAGGTGCGGCACCTGTTTGACACAGGGGAGTGCAGGGAAGTTCGCATCGAAATCGAGAACGTGATCAACTCATCAACCCCCAAGTTGGCCAGGAATGGTTTGTGTCTTTTCTGCTTGTAGATGATATGGCATAGGCTGGTTAATCAGTGTAGGAGTTGCTGCCGTCACTGTTGCTGAAATGTAATACTGAACTATTTTCACTCTAGACAACTGCCTGCTTGACAAGCAGTTGCAAGGTAACACAAAGCCCGAATGCATGGCGTTGCTTTTCAGGGACCTTTAAAAGTTTTAACAAATTTGATGAGTCTTTCTGTATATTTATGAATGGCGTGGATACTGGAGTGATGAAACCTTTTGGAGAGACTCCATGATATTTCCTTTGCGTATACTAACTCGGTTATTGATCCACTCACTCAAGCTCCATGGCTATATCGAGCATTTAAAGCCACTTGTAGCTGTTTAAAGTTTTCATGTGAGTTCTGCATCCTTTCCTAATCTCGCATTTGCATCCTTTTCTTCTTACATCAGTAAAATCTTTACATTTCATGGTTTGTAATATTTCTCCATTGGCTCATTTAAACACTGATTCTAGCATGAATGATGGGGCCCCATTGCTGCTCAGCCTTGCCTGACCCAAGGGTATGAGGTTGCTCAGCAAGAGACATGTAACGCTGCCCAGAAACAGTTTGTGTTTCCTTCCCTGCTTACTTCAGATGCTGTTCCACCTGCAGATTTCACACCAAGCATTTAATTTTGTCTTCTTTCCCACACATCAGAATCCATAGCTCGGTCCAGTAAGCTGCTCAACTGGTGCCAGAGGCAAACAGAGGGCTACAGGAATGTTAATGTGACAGACCTCACCATGTCTTGGAAGAGCGGCCTGGCCCTTTGTGCCCTAATTCACAGATACAGGCCTGATCTTATGTGAGTATCTAAAGAAAATGCATCCAGAACGCGGAGATTGACATTTCATAGATGGAAAGGTTTTCCTCCCCCAGTTTGTGAACTTGTACAAACTTTGCCAAGTATATCCCATTGTGGTTTGAAAGAAAGGACTGAAACTGCTTCGTTTCAGAATGACTGGTCTGCCGTGTTTATGTGTTTGCTGGTTGCAAATGATGTTTACTGCCTGGTTGGGACCTTGTATATCATTGTAAATGAGGTGACAGCCACCAGTTAAAATACCCCCATGGGTCTCCTAGGGCTGAGATGTCCTCATTTCCCCCTCTCTTCTCCCACACACAAGCATACATGAACGCTCTGCTCACCCTCGCATACAATATAAATAACGCAATCTCCATCCACAATGCCTAATGTGGTTTGCTATCCTCTGGAGACTACACGGCAATTAACATTATAAGCTATTAGAGCGTTTCTCCTGCCCGACCTTTACAAAGTAGGGTAGCAGTTGTTCTTTGCTGCTACTGATGAGCCAGAAGGATGAGTGAAGGAACCTTTGGAAAACTGCCGTCATGTGTGTTTGTGTAAATGATGGTTAAGATAAATAATGGAGGTCCCACTCAGTGCTTGTTGTGATGTTGTAATGCATTTAAATGGATGCTGTTTGCAGCTGAGATGTATTGATGTGCCATGTTAATGGTACCTTCAGCTTCGGTAATGAGGACATTTACGGTAATCCTGTCCACCTGCTTTACACGAGTGCTTCATCATTAGTGTTTGTGGTTTATTTCCAGTACAACTAAAGCTGCGGGACAGTTTTTCTCTTAAATGTTGCTGATTCATCACTAACTGTGGGATACTTGATAGATTTATACTCTTAAACCAAACAAACATGCACACTGGGGGCACATCAGTCCATACAACTCTACTTAAACGTGTTATCAATCTAGATTGTGCATAAGGTTAAGTCCTGCACCTCAGCATCCTCACTTCTCTGATAAAAAGCAGTCAGTTTTTCCCATTTTCTAGTAAAGATTTCTCCTGTTGATCTTACACTTAGGTCAGCTTTTTATCCTCTTTAGGAAGACAGAAATAAAAGACCTCCACTATTTTACCGAGCATCAGATGTTTTCCCCCAGAATGATAGATTCTTTTATTCGTGTGTGTGTGTTAGCAGATCTGCATTCAACATTTTTATTTTTTATTATTTTTTATTTCATTTTTTCTTAAAGCTGCTATAAAGTCTGTGAACAATTTACGAATGTTGCGAAGCTCATTGATTTTTGTTTTACAGCCCACAGCCTTATTGTTTTGATTTGGTTTACTCTTACTGTTCTTGCATTGTTGTTTGCAACCTCTAACAGTTTTCAGCTAGCTCAAGAACACAACGGACAGTTTAGTGGCATTAAAACCAGATACTTTTACTCAACAGTTGATTTAGAACAGCGAAAATGTGACCTGTTTTTGGGTTTAAAAAATAAATTATTGCAATACTCTTTTTTCTTTTTCTTTTTTTTTGAATGAAACTCTAAGAGCACACGCTAGTCGTGGTTTAATTGGACCTTTTCAAGTGTAATTTATATGACCACAAGGATCAAGTTCTTATATTTTTGATATGTAATATACGTTTGTAGTTCAAGCACCTGTCAGCCCCATTCCCTTAGTTTGCATTTGAGATGCTTGGCATCACTACTTGCCTCTCACTGTCTGTGGTCTCTCTTCTCTGTTCTCAGTGACTTTGATTCCCTGGATGAACGAGACCAGGAGAAGAACAACCAGTTAGCTTTTGACGTGGCAGAAAGGGAATTTGGCATCTCACCATGCATGACGGGCAAGGAGATGTCCTCTGTGGTGGAGCCAGACAAACTCTCTATGGTCATGTACCTCAGTCAGTTCTATGAGATGTTTAAGGACACAGTGCCACCTGGAGGTGAGAGATGGTGCTACAGTGGGAGTTTTTATTCTGTAATTTTCTTTTGAGAGACATCGTGACGATCTCTGATCAGAAGGGTCATTTACTCAAAAAAAAGTATAATCTTGAACGAACTTTAAATTGCTATTTTCTGTTAATGTTCTTATTTCCCGGATATCTGTTCAGATAACCAAAATCTGAGTCCAGAAGAGAAGGCTGCGTTGATATCGAGCACAAAGTCTCCCATATCTTTCCTTAGCAAGCTGGGTCAGAGCATAGCAATCTCCAGAAAACGAAACCCCAAGGTCAGTGTCTGAAACATGCCAGTATATCTCACTTCTTCCTAAAGCAACAAAATCAGCATTTCATCATTTATTTGTTTAACTTTTTTTTTTGCTGAGGGGGAAAATAGCACATGACTTTTCTTCAACAGGACAAAAAAGAGAAGGATTTAGACGGGAAGAGAAGGAAAACCAGCCAGTCTGAAGATGTGAGTATTTCTGACAGCAGAGCGTCTCATATGTTGATCTTGTGATTAGTGCTTGAGCAGTCTAGCCAACCAGAACCAACTAATTAATCCCACTAGACTGGCAGTGATTGCCAAAAAAGTTTAGCTGTTTTGTTGTGTTTTTTCTCCCCCGACTACTTTCTCACAGGACGAGGTATCGAGGACCAATCGTGACGACCGGCCATCTGTTCCTGCGATCCTGTCGGAGAGAAAAATGGATTCTGCTGCTGTGGGGAACAACAACAAAGTGAAGGTCATGGCCACCCAGCTGCTTGCTAAGTTTGAGGAGAATGCTCCCACTCAGCCTACAGGACTCAAACGACAGGTATGGAAGAAACTGGTCGTCTCATTTTGTGGTTTTACAGCTGGTGGAAATCAGGATGAAGCCACAGGGAAAAGATGCAGAGGCCTACTGGATGTTCTAGGAGCTGCGGTTATATTTGCACACTGACTGTGTTTGTTTTCTTAAATCAGCATTGTGATGAACATGTGAATATCATGCTTCATGTCATGACCTGTAGGTCACTGTTTTAATGAGCTGAGGTCCCGCATGCTTATGTTGGTCAGGCTCTGTATTGTTCCTGGGACATGTGGGTGGACTCACAGTGCTGACTGGGCTCGGAGGGCTTGGGTGAACTGGTTCGCAGTGGTCTGGATTTCTTGCCACTGATGACCAACAGAGCAGTGGGAGGGAGAAGTGAGCTTTTGAAACAGTAGACAATAGTGCTGGCGGAGAGAAGGGAGACGTTTTGTAATTCTTTTGGGAAAACTTCTTCTGGTTTGTGTGCCGCTGAAATCTATGAAGATTGCAGATAAGGTCCTAAAAGTCTTATAAGTAGGGATGGGTATCGTTTAGGTTTGATCCGATACCGGTGCCAAACCGGCACTTTTGAAACGGTGC